CTTTGATTCTTAACTTTAAACAGTTTGTTTCATTGAACCAAATTAAATCTTTTCGTTCTGCCCAGGGTTCTTCCCAGTCTGGTTGCTAATTAATATTCATGACTAATTAACATTCATTATTGTTATCTTAGTAGTAAATTGTGAAAGTTTTTTTCATGAGTTTAGGTAGTCTTTTGTTAGAAATGTACCACATCGTTGGATTTGTGCGTACATGTTTTGAAATAATGTCGTTAGCATGAAACCATAGTAACCATTCCTAAAAATGTTTTTCTTTAGTTTAATTAATTTTAAATATTTCCTGTGTTTCCTGCCTATACATGTTGCATCTGACACTCGGCACACACAAGTTCTTACTAAGATTTTTTTACTATAACTTATTTTACTTCATATATCGTGTATATGTAAATGATGAATTTAGAGATGAATTGTCAACACTGACAGTATGATTTTCCCCCCCGTAATCATGATCTAATTTCAACCAAGAAAACTGGAAAATAAATTAAATAATGTACATGCTTTCATAACTGTTTGATTAACAAAAAAGATAATAGAAGTAATAATTACTTTGCTTAATATTTATATTTTATCTATGATTCCTATTTTTTTTGTGATTTATCAGACTAGCATGGATACATGAATACTATAATGAATACTATAATGATTATTGCTACATATTTTTTCTTATTTACAGTGATTGGACAGCGAGTGGAACCATTTGATAAGAATATCACAATTTCCAATGGAAATGATGTTGACTTAGAGTGTGTAATAAGTGGTGTTGCTGACAATCAGTTTCTTTCATGGACCAGAATTACTGAAACTGATGGTGGGAGTGTTACTACTGATGTCATTGCATTTGATGAGCAACTTGCCTATGATGGAAGTGACCCTGATGTACCCAATAGTCCTGCTAGATACAGTCTCATAAAAACTAGTACCAGGTACACTCTTGAAATTGACGATGCCAAAATGGAAGATGAAGGTAAATTCGAATGCAGCATCTCAAAAACAGATCAAAAGCAGGCAGTCTGGTTAACTGTAAAAAGTAAGTGTATATTATAAAATATTTTCTGACCAAATGTCTTGAATAAAGGTATGCACATTTGATGAACACGTCTGAGGCAGTGTTCTGCACGTGTTGGTAAGTGCCTGTCGCAAGCAATGGCAGTGCT